AACGTCTGATCTAAATATTGTCGAACACGCGTAATGTCGTGGGGCACCATCCTGGGCGTAGTGAAGAAAAGCATTTACTTATTAAGTAAATTCTTTTAGTCAAATTTCTTCTGAAAGTAGTACAAACTAATCTGATGTACCTATTAAAGTCTACTTTAAGCTTTAAATCAATAAATCTTCAAAACTACTGAACTGAAGCTCATGTATTTTACATCATTATAAAGGGAATTGAAAGACCTTTAAAATGAGGTGTCACTCGACCCCCCTTTCCATTTAAGATTTTGTTGGTGGTGTCACCCCCGCTTAGGGGGCTGCACGTGCTAACGTGATTTTTTGCCAAACAAAATCGACGGGTCTGAGCGTTTTTCAAAAAAAAAACTGAGGTGCCAGTAAATGCGTCTGTTATAATGTCAAAATATAATAATTGTCTTTATTTATAATCATTACATTATAAAAGGGCGAAGTTTAGGTCATGTAGCTATTCTTCCACTTGACCCAAATACCAAAAAAGTATAATAGTAAAATTATGTAAATAGATCCTAGTTTGAAATTAAATTTTCAAGCACATGCACACGCAAAAAAAATACACTTATCCATTTTCAGCTTTCATAAAATCATATCAGGAGCAGGTAATAATAATGTAGCTTTCTACTATTTAGCATGTTACTGATCGGTAACCAGTGCAACTTGAATTTAAATCCAATAATTACATTATAGTGTGTCAGTTTCGTACAAAAGCAGCCATCACTTTTTTCTATTCCAAATAGTACGTGTGGTGCCTTTTTGAAATCTGTATTCAATGAGCAATCTTTTTATTCAATATAATGCAGTTATTTTTGTTTCACCACAGATGGTCAAAGTTGTGGAAAAAATATCAGAATATTATAAATCCCAAAACAGTCCTTATTTTATCATAGTTACTTAATATCTTTTAACTACATTGCATTTGTATATGATAAATCAACAATCTAGAAATATTTTATAGAAAAAATGAACAAAGTATAACCTTATTTGTACATGCAGCTAAAGACCACAGATGAAAAGATTCGTTTTTTTTTTTAAATTTAAGAAAAAATTAATTATCTCAAAAACGGTGACACTTTTATGTAGGTAAGTTTTTGTTATTTGGGAGGTCAAGCCTACCTTCTCTTTGAGTTTGTCGTGGTACTTATTGGATACCCTGTATATGCAGGTGATATTTCAAATAAGATTTAAACCTATTTAAAGACAATCCTGTGAAAGATCGGTTAAATAAAGCTGAGCATTTATTCAGGCGGAGAGTTCGTAACTATACTAAGTGACATATAAATCCGAACACCCAGTTTAAATGGTTTTATTTTAATAAAAGATGGTGAATGTATTTATCTTATTGTAAATAACAAGTGAAATAATTTTCAGCCGTATCAGTTGGACATTCCGGTTTTTATACTGCTTTTTTTTTAATTCACTAACGCTCTAAAAATGAATATTTCAGCCGCAGTAAAGAATCACCGTTGGCGGATTTTGGTTCTTGACATCCTTTACGATCGGTTACGATGTCTAGAGTACGGAGACCTGTACGATTTCGTCAACTTAGTGAGTTTGATAGGGGCCGTATAGTGGGACTTCGGGAAGCTGGACTTTCTTTTCGGGCAATTGCAGTTAGAGTGCAAAGAAGTGTAGACACTGTGGTTAGGTGTTGTCAGGCATGGCTTCGAGAAGGCCGTACGCAAAGAGCAAGGGGCACTGGACTCCGCCGTAGAACAACAGGCCGTGAAGATCGCCGCCTAAGATTATTGGCCTTAAGGGACCGTTTCTCCACTACCAGGTCCATTGCAAATGAATGGTTTGCAGAACACGGAAGACCTATTGGCATGCGAAGTGTTTACCGACGAATGAGAAGTTTTGGCTTGTTTTCATACCGGCCACACTGGGTCCTCCCTTTAACTCGAGAACACCGACGTAATCGCCTTGAGTGGTGCAGACAACGGTCACTCTGGGATCAGGAATGGAACAGTATTGTCTTTAGTGACGAGTCTCGATTTTGTTTAGGCATGCACGATGGTCGTGCCAGGGTTAGAAGGCGACGTGGTGAAAGGAGGAATCCACAGTTTTCTGTTGAAAGACATGTTCATCACACTGTTGGAGTTATGGTTTGGGGTGCTATAGCTTATGGTTCCAGGTCACCTTTAATCTTCATCAGAGGTAACATGAACGCGCAGCGTTATATCCAGGAAGTTCTAGAACCCCATCTTTTACCCTATCTTGACACCCTGGCAGATCCAACTTTCCAACAAGATAATGCCCGACCACATGTTGCAAGAGTCACAATAGACTTCTTTCAACATAATGATGTCACATTGTTACCATGGCCACCAAGATCTCCCGACTTATCCCCAATTGAGCACGTGAGGGATATGATGAGTAGGAGATTGCTCAATTTGCAACGTCCTCCTCAGACTCTAGAAGCACTTCGAGAGGAGTTGGTGGTTGCCTGGAATGAGATACCACAGGAGGACATTGACCACCTGATCAGAAGCATGCCTAGGCGCGTTGGAGAATGCGTAGCACATCAGGGTGTATCCACACATTATTAAAGGTCGAAGGGCTTTAAAGCAGTGCAATCATTTTGAAATTTTTATCATTTACTTATTATGCTTCACTAAGTATTCATACAAAATTTTATTAAAATAAAACCATTTAAACTGGGTGTTCGGATTTATATGTCACTTAGTATATATTATGGATGAAATTATATTTAAGCGAGGTCTACGTTTACTTTTCAAATCTAACGGCTTTTTCTTATTGAATTTTGGTCCTATTTCTCTTAAATTTATTTATCAGATGGCAACAATTTGTTTTTTTGTAGTCGTTTCGATCTATACACGGAAAATAAAGGGTGAAACAATGTAGAATTTTGGATATAACTAAGCTTTCGCATAATGCATATTTACAAGATTTAGTCATAACGTCTTTATTTGCGTATATAAACTGTAATGATAAATAGCAGTTTCTTGATGTCTAGATTTATCTGAGGTGCTAACGGAATCTTAGTTTTTCATCAAAAATTACTACGAGGTTTATAACACAATCTTTAATTTTGTCTATGCAATAAAATAACTCAATATTTTAGTTGCTGTATTCATTAGTGGATACCATAAACCTAGCTGTTGCAAGATTATTTCAAGCAAACAAAAATCAGAAAATACCGTAAGTACACTAACCTGCAAGGGTTTACTCACAAAAAGTTATCGAAGCTCCACAATCGTTTGTTTCTTTGTGGGCGTTAACTTCTTGGAAAAGTAAATTAATCGTTAGACTAAAGGGACTTTCAAAAACGCAAATATAATCGGAATATTACTAGAAGTAGTCGAACCCAGAGTAAGTCACTGCACCGAGTACCCGGTACTCGGTATTTTAAAAAAGGTAGCTACACGATAAATTCCAGATGGTACATTTCAATTTTTGTTTGAATATGGTTCTCGAGTTTCCGATTCTTAATTTGCACCGGAAAGGACGAAATTTTTAAAATCATGCGCCTATAATAGAGCACCAAGAGATAAAAAAGTTGCGTCATTAGCTACTCGATCCGAAAAAATGTGTACATCTTTTGTCAGTATTATTCGTGGGACTGAACCTCCCCCCGAGACGCTACTACAATTATTAATGATACTCTTTAGTTCGTGCTAACTTATGGTCTTACTGCAATGAACAACGCAGCCAAAATTTAAGAAACTTGGCGCAAGGATATTTGAGATAAATAAAGCGTTGACTTTGACACCCTATATCTTTGAAACCAGGCTTTTTAAGAAAACATTTTATATGAACTTTAGACGACTATGTATCTCTATCATCAAAATTTGATATAAACGGGATTTGAATCATGAGTTTTCTTGGGGAAGTTAAATGTTACGGGATTTAGATTCAAATGGATGAGATAGAAGCTTGAACGGTATCGAAAATCCTATACATCGTGAGCGTGATACTTCACCAACGTTATTTTTGAACGTTTTTAAAACTCCAACGAAATAGGTAACTATCATAAAACATAAATATAGGTATACATATATGGAATTCGGTGAGTTATGTTGATAATATGAATAGATTGTCATCCCAATACAAGTAGACATTTTATATTCACTTTTGCATTTTAATATTATTTTGTTTGGTTGTTTCAGAGCTGTATTAACTTTTGGGTATTTATCAGTGTCACAAATAAATAATCGGCGTGTTTAAATAAAATCATGTTATAGCCTGAAGTTCTGAATAGGATTATAAGGCTCTAGTCGGGTATACCCGGGTTTCCAAGTGTTTTCAGACCCGAGAAGTAGTTGATGAAAAACCCGGGAATTGATGAAAATTATGAAATTTTATTTAAACTACTGGCATCTTAAGGAAACGATATAGCAAATAGTGGCTAAAAGTCTGGAAGTAAGGCAACACTTTGAAGTTCTTTCTTTTCTCCTTCTATCTAATTTAAATTTGCTGTATAAAGCACTGTTATATGGAAAACCCACTTTACAGACGGCAAACGGACTGTTTCTGATGCGAGAAGTTTCGTGTCACTTAAAATTTTTGAAAGCTTATCGCATTAGCAAGTCCAATATTAATTAATAACAGCTCTGATTGTGAACATTGTAATGTTGATCTATTTTTCAAGTGGCATTCTAAGTAAACGAATTCATGTTATTGTTTTGTTGTAAATAAGCTTATTTTCATTTATGTCACTGTTAGGATTGTGCGTGCACGATTTTTAAAAATATTCCTACAATTACAAGTTACTTAGTCAGGTTTTCTCGAAATACCAATTAAAATGCTCGATATAAGACAATTACATCGTCTTTCCAGTATTATTTTGTGAAAAAGAAGTTCGTTCTGGTTTTTTATGCATAAATATATATTTGAATGAGCGAAACTCATGGATATGAAGTTTTATTCGCAACCCGGATCTACTCTGATATGTGAAAGAAAATAAACTTGATGGATACTGAAATTTCTTGACCAAAATAGGCATCACTCACTGGTGTTGTTGTTGTTCTTGCTCATAATCTTCCTTGGTGTGGGAACCGAAGGCGACAGCGAGTTCCTCTGGAGGAGCACGTGTGGTTGCGTGGTAACGCATACTTTCAGCGGTTGTTTATCAGTCCGAACCGGAACGATCGTGGCCGAAACGGCGTTGCCGTTGGTGCCCGCGCCAGGAGTTCCGGAAACCGGAGCCGACGGCGGGTTCGAGTTGTTTCCGGCGCCGTCACTGGTCGGATCACCCTGTTCCATGTCCAGAGTCATGCATAAAATCCGGCGATTCTAGGGAATTATATGCGCGACGCAACCGATAGTCCGTCTGGACTACGACTGTTTTGTGTTAGGGCGCCGCGGCGCTTCAGGCTCAGGCACGTCGTTTCCCCCTCCACTAGGCGAGACCACGCGGAACTCAGCCTCTCCTCCGAGTCCTTCAAGATCTGCATGGCACCCTTCAAGGAGGGTTGCCGTTACCGGCCTAGGTATTCGACCTTTTTAACACGCTTTTATTAGCTTGTATGCTCTTCGAGCATAATTTTCATCAATATCCAGGAGTTTGATTAATCCGAAATTCCGCACACGTATCAAGGACCAATGCAATAATTTTGGTACTGTTGCGTCTTGTAGAACTTCGGATTCCACTGTTTTTTCACTTGAAACTTCTAGAGTGTGGATAATAAAGTGTGGATGAAGCACGCTCTTCATGCAGTTTTTTCCCCAAAAGACATATTTTCAGCAGTCATTTCTACCATTATTTCACCGCCATCTGCCATATGACGGCTGCCATATGCAGTGTTGTCAGAGCCAACATTGAAAATTCCGCTACTGGTATCAAAAAACTCTGCTACTTTCCGCTACCCCGGGGATTATAGTCGTGGGGGGGGCGCATTAAGACATTTATTATACAGATTGTGTCAAAAACGGACAACAAAAACCAAGCAGCGTGATAAAATATAACATAAAACATTTGACTATAAAAATAAGACAATATTACAAATAACTGTCAAACAACAGAACATTTATCACGCAGGCATATTAAAAAAATATTACAGGAGCTAAAAAATCAAAAGGATATGACTAAAGGCCATTTCTGTTTCGCATAATAAAATTGATGTTTTTGAGTTACTTAAACTTAGTCACTGTCTGTATCAGATTCTTCTTGTTGCATTTCTGTTCTCTCTATACTATATAAATTATTTTTGTATTTTTTAAATGTTTTTCACCAAACTCGAAGTCTGAGCAGCAACATTTTTTTGTATTGTATCCAGTTTGATAATTATCGCGAACAAAAGTTAAAGATACAATAGATAAATATCCATCATGTGTACCTAAATTGCAAAATTCCGCTACTTCTGGCAACACTGCGTCTGTGCATATGTCATATATGAGAGGCGCTTGCCTGCGGTGTTGCCCGATTGGTCTCCGCATTTAGGGAAAATTAAAAGTGGAAAATCAATATACCTGCCTTTTAGGTTTTGCATATGGAAACATAGTAGGCCGCGCGGATCGAACGTCAGTACTGAATCTTAACCTCAATCTTTAGTAAACTTAAATTCAAAGTTTCACAACAATACGTGCAGTATTCTCACTACAGTGAATGTTTAAGTGTCACCAAGTCATTAGAAAAATGGAACTCGACCGAGAACATTTTCGCGCCATAATTTATTACAACTTTCAGAGACAATTATCGCAACAAGAATGACTTGCTGAGTTACTGTCTGCTTTCTGCAACGAAGCGCCACATCAGTCGATAATTTCCCGTTGGTATGGAGAATTCAAACGTGGACGGGTCAGTCTTAGCGACGATCCCAGGGTGGGTGCACAAAAAACGGCAATCACCCAGAAAAACGTCAATGCTGTGCGCAAACTCAAAGTCATTTAAAACTACCTACCGTTTTGTTTTATTTACATATGCAAAACTTAAAAGACATCACTCGTATTAATCAATGAAAAACTGAAACAAACAACAATAGCAAAATAAAAAGCGGTTCTTAATAAGTATAAAACAAAAAAATAACAGTAGTAAGCTAATACACAATAAATTGTAAATAATTATAAAAAACAAAAAATAAAAACTGTGGTAAAATGAAAAACAATTTCATGTAATTATACAAAACAAAAAATAACAAACAGTAAAATAAAAAGCTACTCTAAGTGATAACAAAAAACAAAAAGTAAAAACAGTAGTAAAATGATAAACAATTCCATTTGATTATTAAAAAATTCTTTTTATTCTACTGTTTGTTATTTGTTTTTTAAAATTACATGGAACAGTTTTTTTTTGTTTTACTACTTTTTATTTTTTATAAGTATTGACAATTTATTGTTTTTTAGCTTACTATCGTTATTTTTTGTTTTATACTCATTAAGAATAGCTTTTTATTTTGCTACTGTTGTTTGTTTCAGATTTTCGTTTTTGTGTTTCATTAATTAATATATGTATTATAAATTTTCCCCTTTTCATATTTTTCCCTAAATGCGGGGCCCAATCCGGCAACACCGCAGACAAGCGCCTCTCATACATGACATATGCACAGACCTCAACGGCCTATGGCCGATGGCGGTGGAAATTATGGTGAAAATAACTGCTGTTTTGGGAAAAAATGTTCTAGACAAGTTTCAAGTGAAAAAACAGCGAAATTCGAAGTTCTACAAGACGAAACAGTATCGATAACAGTTTTCCATTACCCTTATAAGTAAAATTCTGTAAAAAGCAGATATGTTAATAAAAAGCAACGGATTTCAAATGCCACCTTACGAACTCTGCAACTACAAGGTGTCTTGTAAACCAGGGGTCTTGAGTCATTTGCCCAGGGAGTTTCAAAAACCACTGATAACGTATTTCCATATTATCTCGCTCATTTTTTCAACCTTCTCAAACAGTCTTACACATATCGACAGATTACCATTGTTTACATGTCATGACGTGACATAAGCTATCAAATAACATTTTCTGAAAAAAAAAGTTTTTTTTTTAAGATAATGGGCTTGTGTCATTACATACCTTAACTTAATGAGCCGTAAAAATATTTGGAATGTTCTAAGTAAAGTGTAAAAACCTAACAAAAGCATCATTAAAGCATATACCACTCCAGACCATAACAAAAATCCAATTAGCGACGATAGAAAAACAACATAAAGAAAAAGAAATACACAACTTCAAACTTGACCATTCTTACTTACTCTATTGTATCGTAATGCAAATGCGGTGGATAGAGAGATAAACACATATTCGGTAAACAGTTATTTTTCTTTGTACAATAAAATGAATTTGCATTCAAGAAGGTTTACCCCTCTAACGTAAATTGATATTAACAGTTAAAAGTCTCGCCATTTTTTTTCAATAATCCTGAAATCTCTAGTGGACATCCAGCTTGTTATTCAGCAAGGGTTGTTGTTCACCCCATTCAATCACCGCTAGCAACGATTACAAGAAAAAAAATAAAAATGGGGTTGAACGCCTAACGATCTTTTCCTTAGAAGAAACGTCGTATTCGCTATGCAAGATTTCGCGCACTTTTTGTTTTTATCATGCTGATGTCAAGTTTATTTGCATATTGTAACGATCACTAATGAACACCGCTGGTACCTATATGGAATATTGAAAATGAAAAATTACAGAATGAAAATTGAATAGTAAGTAGCGGCAGCTGCTGGGAAAAAGCTGGGCTATTTGTTTAGGGCCAAGTAGTACTTTTCTCCCCATGACCTCCTCTCTCTATACAAGGCTCAGATAAGATGTAGCCTCGAGCATTGCTCACACATTTGGGGTGCTGCCGCTCCGACTACATTATTCATGCTTGATGCGGTCAGACTGATCGATGACTCTTCTCTAACAGATGGTCTCGGGAACCGTTCGCATCGGCGGGCCGTCGGCGATCTTGCTCTCTCTCTCTCTCTCTCTCTCTCTCTCTCTCTGTCTCTGTCTCAGAGCTCTCCTCCATGAAGCCGCCGCGTGATGTGCCTGCCAGACAGACTGGCCTGACTCGCCTCCCATATCCTAGCCGTGTCGAACGAGGTACATCCAGAACTGGCCGATACGACCGCTACTTAGTCCCGAGGGTGTCAAGATTGTGCACCAATCTACACGAGGAAGCTTTTACCAGTTCTACTAGCCTTAGGCAGTTCAAAAATTGGATTAACAAAATTTCTTTGGGAATTGACGTAGACTACCTGTAGGCCAGGAAAAGAATGTCTATGAGCCTGTTTGGCTGACTTGATCTGTTTAATTTCTCTATTGTACATGTTCGTAAGTATTTTTTTTCTTCAGGGGGTTCAACTTGTTCTGGACTTAATTTGTTATGAACCGATTTCGGCGTTGCGTAGGAAGCATAGTCGACCTTCTTGACGTCTTTTTCGGGGCTGAAAATTGCATATTTTATCTCGAAAATGACCAACTTGAAAAACGTTAATGGACGTTAACTACCTATTTTGCTGACCTGATCTGTTTAATTTCTCTATTGTACATGTTCGTAAGTATTTTCTTTCAGAGGGTTCAACTTGTTCTGAACATAATTTGTTATGAACCGATTTCGGCGCTGCATAGAGTGAACCTACCTGACGCCTTTTTCGGCGCTGAAAATTGCATATTTTATCTCGAAAATTACCAACTTGAGAAACGTTAATGGACGTTAACTACCTACCTGTAGGACATTAAAAGAATGTATATGAGCCTGTTTGGCTGACTCGATCTGTTTAATTTCTCTATTGTACATGTTCGTGAGTATTTTTTTTCAGAGGGTTCAACTTGTTCCGAACATAATTCGTTATGAACCGATTTCGGCGTTGCGTAGGAAGCATCGAGTCAACCTACTTGACGCCTTTTTCGGGTCTGAAAATTGCATATTTTATCTCGAAAATTACCAACTTGAGAAACGTTCATAAGAACCTTTTTTCTTCGGAATGACCGAAAAAAAAAAAATCGTCCAGGGCGAATAACCAATTTTTGGGATTTGTTTAAAATATTGGACAATTTTTGAAACTTTTTGAATAAGATCATAATCTGATCTACCTAGCCGGGGCTAGTATACAGGGTGTACCTTAATGATATACAAAAGTTTAAGGGTGTGAATCTACCTGAAAAATGAATGTTGGTTTGATTCATAAAGTATGGCCACCAAGGTCCCCAGACGTCAACAGTTTAGATCTCCTATTGTGGGGATATCTTAAGACACTAGTGTACATAAGTTCCATTAACACTGAAATTAGGAGAAATAATAGTTGCAGCTTGTGATAGAATAAAAGACACTCCAGGGATATTGCAAATTAGCGTAATTCCATGAGAAGAAGAGCGGAAGCATGCATACTAAGGGAAGGGGTCATTTCCAACAATTTTTGTAATGATTTCGTTGGTTTTAATGTTATGTTTATGTTGTCAGTTGTTGTTGTTCATTACCCCTAATGTGTTTAATTTTTCCAATTAAATTAATAATAATTTTGCAAGTTAGACAATAGAACGGTTTTTATTTTTTTACTCAAAAATGGCGCATTGAAGGAAAACAATTCAAAAGAGATTATTTGTTTTAAATTGAACTGGAAATTTAAAAATAATTTTTATTTGTCAAAAAAACATTGGCGTACCATTTTTTTCTTAAAAAAGATCGAAGTCAATACCCGCACGCCACTGTTAAAGCTAAAAATTATTTTTGCATTGAAAAATATGCAACTTTATTAACTTCCACTACGTACTGAATATCAGTGAAATATCTGAAGGCGGTTCTGAAAATATTAATTAATTTCCATCTTTTCCTAAAACTTCAACACCCCGAGTTTTTGCAAGGCAACATTTTTGTACCATAGTTTATAAAGCAAACTAGCATTAATTTTTTATGTAGATTCACACCCTTAAATATTCGCATATCATTAAGGAACACCCTGTAGAGAATTGAAATGACTGGCTGATGTTGAACATCCCCGAGTTTTTGTAAGGAAACATTTTTGGACCATAGTTTATGAAGCAAACTAACATTAATTTTTCATGTAGGTTTACACCCTTAAATATTCGCATATCATTAAGGAACACCCTGTATATTTTTTTGCGGAGCTAGGGCAGCAATATCCTACGATATTTGTATGATTATGCATGGACATCCAAATGATCAACGGCATTGTAGCTGGAAGAACAGTAACTATGCTGCCATCTCTTAATGTAAATGAAAACAAATAACAAATTATAGTTTATTTGGTTTTGGCAGCTGTCTATTCTAATTTGTGTATAGTGTCTCCATCTGTTACCGAGGGCTGACATTATTTATTTGACAAATGGTAAAGAGTCCGATGGGCAAATTAGATAGGGTATTTTATTTTAGACGACGTGCAACACTGTTTTTGGTCACCGTTACTGTCTTTGAAAATAAATATCCCTATAAAACATTCAATCGATGTTATCTACATTAACCTAAAAGTGTTGTTTTGTTTCTATAAACTATTGTCAGCAAAATAGGAATAAATTCAATCCATAATTACTATGAAAAGACAAAGTAATGTATCTCATTACAAGAGACATGTGCCTTGATTCAATATAGCGAATATAAGCCGAAAAATACAAGAAAATCTCCAATATGGCTACTAATAATTTAGGAATTGACTGGATCGGATCACTCGGAGTTGGGGTCGTAGACTTTGAGACCCCTTCAGCTGGCGAGTCGAGTCAAGGGACCTCAAACATGAATCAGTATGAGCAAATTGATAGATCAAACACTAGTGCAACATTAAAGGTTTGATAACAATGCCAAATGTAGTAGGGCCTTTTCATAACATGAGCTTCCTTTTACAGAGAAATCCAAAAATGGAACTATCCAAAAATGATTTACTTAAGTTAGTTACTTATTTTGAAGGCGAAATTCAAGCAAGGGACATCGCATTGGCTGTTCTCAAGGTAATTACATCAGTAGATTGTGATAGGCATAACTAATCATTCTAAAACATCCATATAGGGTGGTATAAACATCACCAACCCATCCATGAAATTTAAGGTATTAACGCAGATTATAATAAAATGACTGTTTGCTTTATTGGGTGAAAAATATAACAAGCTGTAGGTAGTTTTTGAGCATTTGTCTGGCAAAATTTCCAGTTTTGTCTCGCATGCTTACATTTGGACCAATAAGCTCAAACCCTTGGGTCATGGGGCTGCATTTGGGGTAGGGTGTAGGCTACCTAGGACCCTTTGTGGGTCATAGTATTAGATTGATATTAGGTTCTAAATCTATTCAACACATTTACCTAGGAGCGCTGTTCTTTTAAAGGGCAGAGGGTAAAACTTCTCAATATGCTAAATATGCAGTTTCTGAAAATCCCCTCATACGAAACTCAAAAATATGATTTTGTAGAGTAACATTTCCATTTGTATCTCCCATCGTTACAAGGAGTGAAACTTGGTATACCTGGATAATCTGTGTCCCTGAATTTGAATTCTATTATAAAAATTCCTGACATGGGGTCTAATATGGGGTAGAAAGTTCCAGTTTACCTAGGAAATGTGTTTTTATCCAGATCATAAGATACACAGGGAGGATTTTTGATAATTTTCACATATGAAATTCGAACATATTACAGGACTTCATTTGTTGAAACTTGGTATATTCAGTAATGATGGAAGTGTTTATATACTGTAAAATGCTTGTATTGTAGTCGGAAAAGCTGAAACAGGTAGTAAATGTGGGACGGTACAGGCCAGCGGTAATGTCAGATCCTTACACAGCTTTACTAAGAGATAGCATAGCAGATGGTTCGTCTTCCAAGGCAGCTGTTTCAGAGAAAGAAATGGCACAAGTTGCTGAACAGCAGCTACAAGCACTAGAGCAGCTAGTCCTCCAGCAACGATGGGCACACCAGCATATGATCAGCATACTTAAAGAAGCAGAAAATAAACATAAGAAGGTAAGGTGATTGCAAAATATGTATGTAGTCCAGCATTGGGATGAATGTTTTGAATCGGAATGCTGATTGTTGTTAAAAAGTTATCAAAACATGCTTCCTCTAAAATTTTCCAGGTGATACAGGAACTAGAAGAGGAAAAAAGTAAACATGAACATGATACTGCTCAGGGAGATGATATCACATATGGCTTAGAAATGGAAAGAACACGATTGAGACAAGAACTAGAGATGGAGAGAAATGCTAGGAAAAAATTGGAAAAGGAGGTTAAACGACAAGTTGAAATGGCTGATGAAGAGAGAGCAAGACAAAAACAAATCGTATTGTTGTTATTGGCTGAGAGAAAGAAGATTATTGTAAAGTATATCGAAGAAAGAAAAAGGAGCGAAGATCTTGCACAGATTTTGTCAGAGGAGAAATCAAGGTGAGTGTTCAACTATTCAGATTATCTGCTTTTCATTGGATAGGGTCATTCAGAGTAGTCTGCTCATGGTAAAGACTAATATGATGTTTATTGCATTATTTTTTTCTTTCTTTTTGCAGCTTATATATAGGTTTTGCTGATATGACCAATTCGTTGCTCTTGGGGTGGCTTTCTTCAAAGCTTAACATTCTTTTCCTTTTTTAATGCTTCAAAATTTAGACATTGCCTTTGAGGTTGGGGTTGCTGGGTACAGTAAAAAGAAATGTACTTACAGATGCTTGGAATCAACAATGAAGTTGCAACGTTTGTTTTAGAAAAACAAGTAAACTATGTGAAGTTATTCGTTTATTGCATGCACTACCATTATGTGTCATATTTTCAATTTGATTCACTATCTGGAATTCTTATCAGTTATTCAGTCACATAGGCAAATATACTAAGTGACATATAAATCCGAACACCCAGTTTAAATGGTTTTATTTTAATAAAAGTTGGTAAATGTATTTATCTTACTGTAAATAACAAGTGAAAAAATTTTCAGCCTTATCAGTCGGACATTCCGGTTTTTATACTGCTTTTTTTAATTCACTAACGCTCTAAAAATGAATATTTCAGCCGCAGTAAAGAATTAGCGTTGGCGGATTTTGGTTCTTGACATCCTTTACGATCGGTTACGATGCCTAGAGTACGAAGACCTGTACGATTTTGTCAACTTAATGAGTTTGATAGGGGCCGTATAGTGGGACTTCGGGAAGCTGGACTTTCTTTTCGGGCAATTGCAGTTAGAGTGCAAAGAAGTGTAGACACTGTGGTTAGGTATTGTCAGGCATGGCTTCGAGAAGGCCGTACGCAAAGAGCAAGGGGCACTGGACGCCGCCGTAGAACAACAGACCGTGAAGATCGCCGCCTAAGATTATTGGCCTTAAGGGACCGTTTCTCCACTACGAGGTCCATTGCAAATGAATGGTTTGCAGAACATGGAAGACCTATTGGCATGCGAAGTGTTTACCGACGAATGAGAAGTTTTGGCTTGTTTTCATACCGGCCACACTGGGTCCTCCCTTTAACTCGAGAACACCGACGTAATCGCCTTGAGTGGTGCAGACAACGGTCACTCTGGGATCAGGAATGGAACAGTATTGTCTTTAGTGACGAGTCGCGATTTTGTTTAGGCATGCACGATGGTCGTGCCAGGGTTAGAAGGCGACGTGGTGAAAGGAGGAATCCACAGTTTTTTGTTGAAAGACATGTTCATCACACTGTTGGAGTTATGGTTTGGGGTGCTATAACTTATGGTTCCAGGTCAGCTTTAATCTTCATCAGAGGTAACATGAACGCGCAGCGTTATATCCACGAAGTTCTAGAACCCCATCTTTTACCCTATCTTGACACCCTGGCAGATCCAACTTTCCAACAAGATAATGCCCGACCACATGTTGCAAGAGTCACAATAGACTTCTTTCAACATAATGATGTCACATTGTTACCATGGCCACCAAGATCTCCCGACTTATCCCCAATTGAGCACGTGTGGTATATGATGGGTAGGAGATTGCTCAATTTGCAACGTCCTCCTCAGACTCTAGAAGCACTTCGAGAGGAGTTGGTGGTTGCCTGGACTGAGATACCACAGGAGGACATTGACCACCTGATCAGAAGCATGCCTAGGCGCGTTGGAGAATGCGTAGCACATCAGGGTGCATCCACACATTATTAAAGGTCAAAGGGCTTTAAAGCACTGCAATCATTTTGAAATTTTTATCATTTACTTATTATGCTTCATTAAGTACTTATACAAAATTTTATTAAAATAAAACCATTTAAACTGGGTGTTCGGATTTATATGTCACTTAGTATATCTTAAAAGCAATCCATATATGGCAAAAGTTTCTTCTGTAGTAGCTATGATGATTAATGTTTCCCTTTACTCGGGGAAGCTTTTCCATATATGGCGACTTTAAATTGATAATGGTGGGAAGAATGACTGTATTTGGAGATGCTTAACTTCTAGAAAACCGCACTTTATGTATAAATACTTCCACAATAGTTTTGGTTTCACCAGGGTTTTTCCTTAAGTGTGTCTGAAATTTAAAATTGAATAAAACGAGTTGTGTGCGACATATGATGGAAACTTTAATTGCGTATTAAAGTACATTCAATACCATTACGTTGTAAAAATTGCATCATTCAAATGACCTCCGCGGCTTCGTCTACAGGACTCGATCCGAGAGGTCCAATTTTGTAAAACTCTGCTGCATAAGCTGGGCTAGATCTCACCAACGGTTTGAATGATCTTGTTCTCCAGTTGGTGAATTGTTGTTGGTTTATTGCGAAAGACCAGCGACTTAACGTAACCCCAGAGAAAAAAGTCTAAGGACGTCAAATCGCACGATCTTGGCGGCCATTCCATACCGCCTCTTCTGGAAATAACGTGCCCTGGAAACTTTCCTTGCAACAACTGCTATTTAATGGCCGACGTGTGACACATTGCGCCATATTGTTGGAACCACATGTTCAGGTCCATATCATCCAATTGAGTCACCGTCTCGCCATTCTCGTTTCAGATGTACGGCTGACCAAAACCCACACCAAACAGTAAGTTTTTCCAGATCCAATGGAGACTCTTGATACTGTTGTGGATTTCTGTCTCCCCAAATGCGGCTATTTTGTTTATTCACGAAGCCGTTTTACCAAAAATGTGCTTTATCACTGAAAATGATTTTTTCCTCCCAACTCCCAACTGTTCCAGAGCCCAATCAGCGAAAGTAAGATGCGCTTGGTGGTCTTGGGGCTTCAGTTCTTGCGTCAACTTATATGGATACCTGCCCAAGTCTTTTCGTAAAATTCTCCGAGTCGAGATCGCAGACAGGCCAATTGCTTGTGCATGACGCGGAATCGAGAGGACTGGGTCTTCAGCTACATTTTTTACATCAGCAACAATATTCTCGCTTGACCGCGCATTTTACATTAACTGCTCGATCAGCAACCGAATCGTGTTGCTCGAATTTGGAGGAATGATAGCCATGCCACCTGAAACCTCAGAGCAAGACGTTGCCAAATTCCGGAGATAGCTATTGAAAAACCCTTTAGTTGTAGTGCAACATTTTCGGCAGTGTATTTTCAACTTGTACTTGTTCAAGGGTGGACTCAATGGCAGAAGGTTTGGAGGAAGAGAGCAAGAAATCATTACAAATGGAAGCTGAACTAGAAAAGCAGGTACACGTGTACGAAGCTGACAAAAAGGGTCTGAAGGCTCAACTAGCGGCGAAAGAAGGCCGATGCCAAGAATTGGAAATGGAGCTTCAAAGAGTTAAGGCTGAATACGAAGCACTCAGAACCAGGGTGGCAGCCAGCTTACCCAACGATGGTGCAGCTCCTATGACCAGCAGCGTTGCTAAGGTCGTCCAACCGACTGCTACCGTTTCCAGTGTTCCCGTTTCAGGGCCAAGTGAGTTTTTATCTGTCGCTTTATGGACGCAAACTTTTACAAATACACACTGGTCACTGATTACATAGTTAGTGTGCTGTAGTTGTGAAATATTAGCGATATAACTTGTTTTCTTTTTTTCAGCGACTGGTATTGCTCAATCTGTGATGCCGGGTCAAGCATTACGACAAACTAACATCACTTCTACAGCGATGGCGGCAGGAAAGGTGAGTTGGAGATATGATAAATAACGGATGTGACAGTGGTAGTCGTACAGTAGAACTCCGATTATCCGAAATAATGTGGACCCAAGGGCTTTTGCATAAGCGAAATTTCGGATAAAAACGAAAAAAATATTTAGACTCATTAAAAATTGGTATTCTACGTTCTCGATTCTGTGTAAACCACAGATCCACTTTTTGATATTCCCCTTTTTCATAGTTTTCCGTGACGACTGCGATGATGTCAGAACACTAGGCCACCTTTCAATTCTCTCGCGTTGTTTTTTCCATTCTGAAATGGTACTCACGCCCACACCTAAATCACTTGCCACGTTTGTAAGCAAAACACCTCTATCTAAACGTCTGACTGCCTCAAGTTTGTGTTCTATGGTAATAACAACGCGTTTACGTTTATTTCCATGCTGCTCCATCTTAGCGATTATGAACCTGACTGAAACAAACATACACGCACACATACCAGTGAATTTTGCAAACGCGCTTGGGGAATCACCGGCAGCGAATCTAAGTTCGGTTAATTTTTTTAATTTTCCAATATTATTTTTAACAAATTAAATTAATTATTTACAACTAAAATGCTATTGGATAGTTAGGACAAACATACAAAATCTAAAGTAGTTGCTCGAAATATAAACCCAATTGTTCAATACACAATTCACATCTACGAATGGTCGAACGTGGTATAGCATTATTCAAATAAGGCCTTATTTCATCACATGCATTCCTGATTCTGTCTATTAGCATATCTCTTGTGGTTACGGGAGTCTGGTACACTTTTTCTTTTAGAAATCCCCACACAAAGAAATCTAATGGATTTAGCTCATTGGATCGTGGAGGCCAGGCGACTGGTCCTCCACGGCCGATCCATCTTTCTGGATAATTTTCGTCCAGCCAGTTTCTAACTATTCTCGAATAATGAGCTGGACAACCATCATGCTGGAACCAGGCTAATCTTCTTGAATCTAACATAACATCATCTCACATATTTGCATGTTCAGCATTTAAAAATTCCAAGAAGGTCGCAGCATTTAATCTTGCAGGCAAAAGTTAGGGTCCAAATAGTCGATTACGGTAGATTCCAATCCACACGTTCACGCTAAATTCATGCTGAAAATTTCTTTCCCGAACTGCATGCGGATTTTCATGCGACCAAATATGTTGATTATGAAAATTTACCACTCCACGTCTAGTGAAGCATGACTCATCGGTCCCTAAAACGTTACTTAAAAACTCCCTATTATTATCAGTTCTATCAAGAATCCACTGACAAAATGTGATTCTTCGTTCTGCGTCCCCTGGCTGCAGTCCTTGCACAGGTTGCAAATGGTAAGGACGTCTATGGTCATTTCAACACGGTGAACATGGCTTGCTGAAATTCCCAAGGCACCAGAAACTTTCCTAACACTTGTGGTCGGATCTCTGTCAAACTCACGCAGAATCATACGGGTAAATCTGCGCTGACGAACATTTATGTTTTGATCCCTTTGGAGATTCCCAAAACCATTTTCAATTATTTGGCGATGCACTCTTACAAATACTGAGCGAGTTGGATGTCGTCGGTTTGGAAATCTTCGTGCGTATTCTCTGGCTGCTTCTGCTGCGTTTCCATTTACAAAGCCATACACAAAATGAATATCCGCTAACTCTTGATTGGAGAATAAAAATGGCATTTTTATAAAACTTACAAAAAAAAAACAGGTAAAAGAAACTAAATTTCGTGCATTCACAATTGCAAAAAAACGTTTCAGGTTTCAACAGACAGCAAAACTAACTGTCAACTAATTCACGTTTAACCTTATTCTGCTTTCAATTTCAAAAATATTTGCAGGCACAGCCTACTTCTAAAAATTATCGAGATACTGACTTTTTAACGTTATTTTATCATAAATAATTAAAAATGCATCGAACCTTAAACATCGAAATATCTCAAAAACGGCTAACTATAACGAAAATTCACAAGAGAGCTTTTTTATATTGAAAAGTGCGAAGAATCAGTTTTTTATTCAAAAAGCAAAAAATTGCACTAAGAAAATTTTTTCGGTCATTTTAATACACTACAGGTACAGTAGAGAGCGCCCTCTAGCGGCTACAGTAAAACTATGCCCATGGTTCGTTTTGTCGTACCAAAAAACCCTTGTATACCAATGTTCACTGTTATACATCAAATATTGTTCGAAATATTTAAATAAAACTATTTTAGAAAGTATTTTTCGACCCATGTTTATATAGACTTAATGCATTAATTTTAAAAGTTCTATCGAATCCTAAAGTTATGCAACAATAAACTGAAACACCCTATATATTATATATTCCGATAATGAATCTAATTTTCAGGTGATTGGAGGTGGTGTTGTCGGCGGTGGCACAGTCAGTCGCACCCCTTCGAAGGCGGGTGCAGGTGCATTTCATCCCCATCCCCCTGTCCAAAGTTCAGGAACGGCAGTCTCCCCGGCCCCCCAGACGCCTCCTAAGAAAGGAGCAGGTACCGCAAGGGGGGTGCCGCCCCCAATCCCGCCCAACAAGCCGGTCATCCCCACCAAATCGGCCACGGTCATCAGGAGACCCGAAATGGCAGGGGCCCCCTTGGGAGGTATCACTGCAGAAGGTCAGGAGAAGAAGAAGCCGGCTCCGATACCGGTACCCGTCGTACCACCACCCAAGGAACCAGACGCTCCCAAACAAGGTACGACAACATGTATTGGCAATTCTTAAAAATCACATTCATCGTAATTAAAAAACGTATCATAACCACCCTGTGATCCGTAATAGTTGAAACGACTGCGTATCTTCATTGATTAACATATTCTATATGAAAATACCCAACCATGTAAGTCGTCTAAAGAAATATCTGAAATAAAATGAGATATTCTGGGGTACATTTTTTTTATACCGGAGCAGGCGGGCAGGCAGAAGATCAAATAGAAAACTTAACACCTTCAATCAAATTGAGTTATTTCAAATTTCGACTTCGAATGCCTTTTTTATTACAGATTGAGAATGATAAAATATAAACTAGTCGGTGGAAGATTGAAGCTGAAAGTCGAAGTAATCCCTCATAAGTTTAACTGCAAAAAAGGTGTAAAGTAAGTCTTAAGTTTTCCTAGTTTACATTCATCAATGAGTCTATCGAAGGAGTTAGGATCCTCTACTACGTCTAAATTTGGAGAACTTCCACTTTCGTTATTGAAATCTTTCGCTTTAATAAACTTAATAACATACTACTGCCAACTTTACAGCTAGTGTAGCAGTAGGCATAAATACTTACTTCCAAAGTGTCACACCTTTTATTTACGCGCTTGAAAAAATGAATTCCATCACTGCATAAATGTCAGTTATTAACTAGAAACCACGTGGACGAGCGCACAGGTGTGTCTTATGAATTGTCTATAGACTAATAATTACTAAATGCACAGACGCTGTCGGCACGCTCGCCACTAGTGAAGTGTGACGTCAGACGCGTACTTACGGCAGCAATGATTTCGCGCCAAATTCAAGTATCAATTTCTCTGTCATTTATTGACCGATTTCAATAATTTTTTTACTGGTTGATTATATTGCATCTATATTTTGCTGGTATGTCATTACTGCGATTCTGGACATCACGAAGCTTTATTGCATATAGAGAACCCGTCATTTACGATGGACTATCGCGCGGCCAGAGAGAAAGTCGGAAGATGCATTCTCATTTATGAGAATTTGTTACAGCTATGCTATGTCAATAATTAGAGGAGAAACATAGCTGCGATAAATTCTTGAAGATGACGCCAGGGTACCTCATTTCATCTTGGATATTTTGAACGCCGAAATACAGTACATGGTTGAGTATCTTCAGGTAGAATACATTAGCAAAGGGTATTGTATAGTAATAAGTGTAAATATTTCTTTGAAGGGCAGGGGATTGAGATGCTGGGTCAAGAACTGGCCGATTTCCAACAGATGTTCGTTACCATGGCAACCAGCAATAACACCTAATAATGCCGAACGGATTGTAGACTTTTAGGAAACTTGACAAAGAAAGTTTTGGATGGAAAATTTGACGCTTCCTCTATTTATTTTATCTTTATTTCACCTGTGCAATTTTGCGCATCAGGTATTTTTTAGATTTATTGTTTTAGGTAAATTGTGTCAAACTGGAAATAACCATAATTTTATTCGTCTATTTCCTTCGATGCTTCTTGTTTGGCAGCTGACTAGACTATAAATACGCCAACGTTATAAGTATTTGAAAGTTATTGAGATCAAAGTTGTGCACACAAGCGCATCTTTTATTCTATTTTTTTTCATGTTTCGTTGAATTTGTCTAACAGCTTATAGAATCAGTGTATTCCTTTGTTTTAATGCTCCCGCGTTACTATGACAATGATAACAAGAACTTAACGCACCCTGTATAATGGCTCAAGCGCTGGTTACATGCTTGCTCTCATCTATAGCAGCTTATATAGAAAAAAACAATCGAATAGCTTATGTCTGATCCATTCTAAAAAAATGAGCATGTACTTCAATGTAAAATACGAATTATGTAGCATGAAATGAGTGTTTTTGGGTGTTGTAGATATTAAGGCAGAAGATACCTAGAAAGTATGATTTACATATTGTACTTTGAAAATTAAGAGCGTAAACGGTGGAGTTGAAATTTTATCGTTGTTTCTAAAGAGTCCCTTCAAAACCTATCACTGATATTTTGAGTTTACAGAAAACCGTTTATTTTATTTCCAGACTCCACTTTTGTGGTGTAGTGTATATTTTATTTGTTTTGCAATAGTACGAACGAGATTGGTTTCGGAGAAAGAAATATTCAAATGCAATAGTTACTTTGACGGTTAATATTATTTAACCAACATTTTATTGCAGCATTAAATCCATTTCTGTCTGCCGCTTCTTTACATACTCGACAAAAATAAAGGGGTTCACTTGAAAATTTATGTGATCTCAAAATGACCTTGAAGATTCAAGGTCAAGTATGTACTTGAACTTGAAATTGTCCACAATCTGCATTTGAGCGATTAAAAATAGAAAATCTAACATCACTTATTCTGTGGTTTACATATCGATAATCCCTCATGCGTGCATGGCCAATAGAACTATACTGTAGTAAACGTTGCAATCACAAAGAAGATTTGCCAAGAGTTGTGGTTTTATTGTCCAGCATGGGGTATTATTAGAAATAGATGTTTCCCGTTGAAAATTCATTTGATCTTCAAATGACCTTGATGGTAATAGTCAACGTCATGGACTTAGTTGAACATAGTTTCCATTTGAGAAAACTGTTCAAATGACCTTGAAAGTTATGGTCAAGGTCGCCATTATATGAATCTTTTCAGAGCTTACAACTTCATTACATAACAGTTTTCTTTATGAAACTTTGCGATATATGTTGCCCTTTCCATACTGCCAGGACACGCTCCAATACCGAGAACATCATAGTCAAGGTAACGGACACAGACATACTTCAACGTAAAATTTCTCGCTCTTTACATTTCCGGTGTCAAAAATAGGGGCTTCATTTGAAACCGTCAAATGACCTTGAAGGTCATAGTCAATGTCACGTCCTTGATGCATCCTTACAACTTTGTTCTGGAACATTTTTCTCCATGAAACGTCTTTTTAGAGATATCTTTTCATGGATAAAATTATGCCCATAACCTTCATCGGATTTCAATCATTAAGTGTATAAATCTTTGCGTCTCTCCATATTGTGGTTTGGATGTGATGCTGACAGAATATATATATATATATATATATATATATATATATAAAACAAAAAATAGGAAAATAATGGGCAAAATCCGCAAAAAGAAGGAAAGTGGATTCGAGCAGAAAATAGGATAGGTAACCCGAGCGATACGTATTTCTGCTGGTTGGCTTCATCAGGCCCGAAATGAATGCACATATGCAACTACAAGAGCCAACCTACACATTGTAGTATAAAATGGCTAGAAAACCTCGAATTCTCAAGGCGACATCTAACCACAACCACGCGGCCGGTTATAGCCATATTGTTGTGGACTTTGTGTGTGATTTTTTTCCCTCCCCATCTTCGTTTCCTCAGGTTACACCCGTATCCGGATGTATGGGCATGTGTATCTACTTTTGCAGTTGCATATGTGCATTCATTTCGGGCCTGATGAAGCCAACCAGCAGAAATACGTATCGCTCGGGTTACCTATCCTATTTTCTGCTCGAATCCACTTTCCTTCTTTTTGCGGATTTTGCCCATTATTTTCCTATTTATTGTTATATACCTTTCTCCGCATGATCATTTTCTCCTTTTATATATACATAAAAGTCCATTATTTTCGCGTGAAATCCACTGGCGTTGGAAAAAAGGTGGGTTGTCATCTGGAAAAGCCCGCGTAGCTTCATCGTGTACTGGATGACCCTGTACACAACCTACAGAATGGTATTATTCGGATTATCGCCGATCAATAGTATTCAAACTAAGCTGAGATAATGTATGGCTTCGTGGCGTGTGTTGCGTATCAATACCAAATTTCAAAACATAATCATGTTGAAATATTAACATGTTGCTCATCATAATCCGATACAACATATTGTCAATAAAGGTGAAAGGTGTAGAGGTGTAGAGAAACTGTATTTATTAGAGTTTTTAGTGCAGGACAAACCTTCGTTATCCGTTATCTAAATAAGAAAGCTCCGTAAGCTACGGAGAATAGGTCGTTCATAAGGTTGTTTTTTTCGGAATTCGTAGAGCTGGATAAGCTTAATTAAAACAATTTCAAGATGTAAAAACATATTGGTTAAAATATAATAGTCATCTGAGTTTTTGATCACGGATAAAAATAAATGCAAGACAGAGACAGTATTCTAAATAAATTGGATTGTCCTTATTTTTCTGGCAAGTTGGCGTTTCATTGTAGTTCTGCTCGTTTTGTGTTCATACGGCGGATCTGTTAAAGCACAGCGTTGCCAGATGGATAGAATTTCCCCAGAACACACAAAAATCTCACAGAATTAATACTTTAAAAAAATCCCAAAAGTTAATTACTGAAAAGGGGTAGGTTTGTACTTTCTATCCGCGAAACGTGTGATATACCTCAGCACATTAAATCCCCAAAAAATTCCAAAATAAAAATCTTCCATATTGTGCAACATCCCCTAACATGGCAATTCTGTCAAAGCACCGTTGGTACTCTAGGCGTCACGTTTCGGGGTCGTTTTTCAAAAATAACCTAACGGAAGGCTTAACCATTATTATTTTTGTTGCACTAAATATTCTCTATCATATAAATGAATGTACTGTCATCGAATTACCACAAAAGGAGTTTGTGTAATGTAAGCAGTACATCCACAAAGCTTCATGCATGTTTTCGACATATCTTTTTGTGTAAATATTGTACAAATCTTAACTCTATTTCGCGCTATGAAATTACGTGTATTATATTTTTCCATCCAAAATTTTACTTTCGCGCTTTGGCAGTTTGGGGTTGCTCAATCCCACAAAGTCCACCTTTTAATGTGATAATTACAACTATACTTGATGTATATCTTTATTTCATTCTAATCACGAAAATTTTCGGAAAATAGTATTAAAAATGTATCAGGAATTATGTAGAATTCTCAATTTAGACTTATTTGATTATATTGTACTCCATTTGAAGACATTTATGTTCAAATAGTTAGGTATTTTGAAATCAGGAATATTGTATTTATTGATTTACCACATTTAGATCGTTTTTTATCAATTCTTTGTACTTATATTTTACCACATGCATACTCCATGTGACCACACATATAGACAACAAGTCATTACTATGCAATAAGCAATTCGAGTGTTCGCAGAAGATAAAACAAATAAATAGCAAAAACCGTTTTTTGTGATAATGGAATTATAGATATAAAAGATTTGGATTAGATACTTTGTTATGACTGTTAGAAGATTTTAATGACTGCTAAGTCTTTATTTAAAGTATCGTAGTGAGAGATTCTTAAATAGTCCTTAGAGATGAAAGGTGTATACAATTAGATAAGTATGTCTTGATTATGAGATTGTTTCTATTATTTTTTTATTATGATTTGCATCTGTCGAAAATAAAATAAAGTTTGAATGTACTCAATATATTTTCGTTTCATTTCATCTTAACCTCGCCCTCCATGACTCTCATTTTACATTCACCCTGTACAAATTAGATGAAAATGGTGTCAAGTAGATTGACTATATTTACTTCTAGTACAATTGTCCAACAGTGGCATTCAAAATGTACTCAGTGACAGAAAGAATTATTTCTCCAACTTGATTTTTTTGGCAATGAGGTAGTCTTACATCAAGAATGAAACGATAACATTCTCACGAAATTTTATTGACAAGGAATAAGAAAAAAAAAATAATGTATTGGGCTACCCCGCAGCTGAATACACTCCTGTAACTTCGTGGATTAGCCGTGGCCGAGTCTCTGGCGGATGGTGCAAAGTGGTTAGTTTCCTCCCCATCATATCCCACACATGTTCGATGGGATTTAAATCCGGTGAACGGGGTGGCCACAGCAGCTTCTTGAAAAAAGTCGCGCAATATGGGGACGTGCATTGTCTTGCTGAAAAATGACGTGATTCAAACACTTTCGAACAATTGTATAATTTCAACGGTAAATATCCAAATACCGCATCGAGATGATCTGAAAAGTACTCCAGCCTCGAGTATTTGGATATGCAACTGAAATGAACACATAAGCCTATTAAGGGAGTTAATTTAATTAAGAGCCATCGCAGGGGTATTAGCTTCAAGGTGTAAAGCCATAGTGTGAATATGTTTTAATCATGAAGCGTGCAAATTATACCGTGTCGCATTTTTAACAATTTGCTGGTAATGTGGATGAGACTATCTAAAAATGTGCGTGCAACTTTGAACGACAATCACATCATTTACCATGAAGCGGATTTTGATTATAGTTCTGTGTTGTGTCTGTTCCGTTTTCGCTACCAATACGTAAGTGCGATAGCTTTAATATGCCTGGATTAATTTTGGGGGCAAATTCTAAACGGTTCAAAATATTTACCCTAACTTACACAGGGTGTTCCTTAATGATATGCGAATATTTAACGGTGTGAGTCTACATAAAAAATTAATGTTAGTTTGCTTTATAAACTATGGTCCAAAATTGGTTTTAGGAAAAAATTGCAAATAAATTAATATTTTCAGAACCGCTTCAGATATTTCACTGATATTTAGGACGTAGTTAAAGTTATGAAAGTTGCATATTTTTCAATGCAAAAATAATTTTTAGCTTTAACAGCGGCGTGCGGGTATTGGTGTTGGATATGGGTTTCGGTTACGGCATAGGGATTTTCTTCTGTCCACAAATGATTATTGTGGAAATTCTGAATGGCATTTCGAGAAAAATTAGCTTCGTCCGTGAACAGAATCATTGATTCAAATTGCGCATTTTGTGTAATTTTTTGAAGTTACTACTGACAAAAGGTCACACGCCTAGGAATATCAATGGGACGTAATGCCTGTACTCTTAAAATATGGTAAGGACATAACAGCAAATCAACTAAAATTCTCCAAACAATTTGATGGTAAATATTTAAGTGTCTAGCGATCTTCCGCGTACTCGTTTCAGGATGTTCTTTGACTTCGTGCAGCACTGCTTTCTCAATTTCAGGTGTTCTCGCACTTAGAGGATCTTTTGTTTTAAATTGAATGGGGAATTCAAAAATAATTTTTATTTGGCAATAAACCATTGGCGTACCATTTTTTTCTTAAAAAATATCGAAGTCAATACCCGTACGCACGGCACTGTTGAAGCTAAAAATTCTTTTTTCATTGAAAAATATGCAACTTTATTAACTTTCACTAAGTACTAAATATCAGTGAAATATCTGAAGCGGTTCTGAAAATATTAATTAATTTCCATTTTTTCCCTAAAACTTCAACACCCCAAGTTTTTGTAAGGAAACATCTTTGGACCATAGTTTTTCCTGTAGATTCACACCCTTAAATATTCGCATATCATTAAGGAACACCCCTGTATATGTAGGTATTAGAACTAGAGTCAACATTTCAAAGTTAACCATACCTCTAAAACAAAAATTCTCTAGGAATCGGCAATAATTGTGATAGTTTCAGTGTCCTTTGCAGAAAAAACGAAACAACCAGATATCAAAGGGAATATGTGGAAGAAACAAGTTTATCACTCAGAGACATACTGCCTTTGAAACCAAAGCAGTATGACAAAAATCGAGCCCCAAAGCCATTAGGTCAGCCGACAATCGTTTATTTCCACGTTACCGTTTTATCACTAGACTCAATCAATGAGGAATCTATGGCAAGTAAATATTTGTACCTTGCAATTTGTAGATTTGATAATAATTTTAGACATAGGTTCATTCTCTGTGCACCACATTATACGAGGATTTTCACGAACAAGCGCGGAATATACACTTATTACTCATTTTAAAGCCTCTTGCTTCAAGAATGTCATTCTCATTCTCATCTTATCATTTAATAATTGAATTCGCGGAATGGCAAGTTTCAAATCCTGGATCCCCATCAGTCATTCGATTCTTCCACTATCTTTTAGCAAGGTCTTTTCGAGCAGGGGCGGATTTAGCATTATGTCTACCACGATAGCATTAAATATTTATTAAATATTTAAAAAAAATGTTTGTTAAATATTTGTAGCGACAGATTTTTTGATATGTAATAAATACATTTCTTATATATTCATAAAATATTCGTTATAGATATTTGTAGTATATACAGGGTGACTTTGAAGTTGAGTCATTAATTTTCAGATAATGATTGTAGAAGGAAGATAAACCAAAATATGTGTGTAAAAATAAAAAAAAACTAAAAAAAAAATGTTACCTTGTTTTATAAAGTATCCTCCCGACAAGTATTTCAGTGCGGACCTGTATTTGATCGTGCGGTCTTGGAGCACCGGCATCCGGCATGCCCTCAACTGTGAGGTCTTAAGTCACCTGATTCACGAGCCCTTTGTACTACATTAACAAAGGCACGAGGGGTTGGTTGCACTCGATTGGGAAACCGATCCGCATACATCCGTGATGCCGCGGCAGCATTTTGTAAAGACTCCCCCCCCCGCAAATAAGAATCATGTCCACAAGTTCAGCATTTTCGTAAACATGTGCCATTTTTTATTTCGTTTGAGCCACTCAACAAACACCACTATTCACTCACGCGTTACCGACTGACACATTGACTGAATACAACGGAATAAAATTGTAGTAAAAACATCGTGATAAGCGTTTCAAATTCTTTCGCTTTTTTGTTTCCGATGCGATGAACCGAATAGGCGGATTATATCCGTTGCCAAACAGGAGCACATATTATTATTGAGACAGGGCGGTACTCAAACTTCTAAAGGGCTATAACTTTGTTACTTTAATTTTACCACAAAAATGTTAAAGGAAAAAAACATTTCTTTTGATCAGATCTACTTACTGTTAAAATAAATGACTCAACTTCGAACTCACCCTGTATATTCTATATATTCCAGTTCTACTAACATAGGCATTCCAAAGCTCCTCATAGCAGATAGGCTGTAAAAAATGATAAGCTGGTATGTACAGTTTGTGAAAATCAAAAGGTCGCCAATCTTGGCCCAACAAACTAGGTTAAAAATCGCTTAAAAGTAAATTAATGAACTTCGGGATCATATAGAGGAATGTTAGCTTTATACGTAGCTTCAATTTGGATACCTAGCAACCGCAAAAATAATGATTTTTAATCAAGTTTTATATCATGGAAGATTAGCATTTTTAGGGTTTTTCAGACATTAAATGGCTTATAGCTCGGAAACAACTAACCCTGAAGAAGAAAAAAATCGTCTTTTTTTGTAATGATTTAAGAGGGAAGATGATTTACAAAATTGACCAAAATGTGGCCAGGTCAGACACACTCAATTCCATCCAGCGCTTGGTCTACTATAGGTAGTTTACTGTTTACTCGATACTTGATGCGTTTGTCGATTAGTCATTGTTTACCAGTGTGACAAATATAGTTTTATTTACAAAACATACTGGTAGTTGAGGGTTCTGAAAATGCAGAATCTACGATTATAAATTTATGACTAACACTGGAAAATTGCAGACCTACGTAACGGACATTTTCCTGGCACAAAGTTGGAGAGATCCTAGATTACGACTGCCAGAAAATATGAGCGAAGAATACAGAATTTTGGATGTCGAATGGTTGCATAGCATCTGGAGACCAGACTGCTTCTTCAAAAACGCGAAGAGCGTCACATTTCACGAAATGACTATACCTAACCACTATCTTTGGCTATATCATGATAAAACTTTACTTTATATGTCCAAGTAAGAACCACCCTTCAAGTAGTATTTGCACAGTAGTGTGTAGTCACCGTTCTTGGTGGGTCGACGTAGTTTTTTTTTGTGAGGGGGGAATGCGTTTATGCACCATACCATAGCCCGAGCTACGGCGTGTGTGGGACTCCAGGTTGTCTTGATGAGACCACCCTGAACAATAACCTCCGCGTGGCCCGACTCATCAGCGTCTCGGTAAGGCCATGTGTTGTGCGTGACCTGCGGTCTGCTACAACGTCTCCTCATGTGTTTCAGTCTCTGGGAACGCCGGGTTGGTTCCTTTACCTCGCACAGTTCTATCGATGTCGTTAAGCGAGCATCGATAGAGGGTTGGCTATGTTCTCTTGGAACTCTTGTTTTCGAAAAATCAAGAGTTGCAAGTCCTCTACTACTTGTAAGTTAACTGGGTCGACGTAGGATTACCAATATCCCTTTATATATCTCCCTCATACAGGGTTTGTCCGGAAAGTAATAGGACTGAGTCGATTTAACAAAAATTGTTGAGCCAATCGTTACAATTCTTTAAAAACTTTCAAAATGGTATGGAGATTCGATCTGATTACTTATTTCATATGGCGTTGATGACGTCACCACGGTGACTACAACTATCCCATTTTCTCTTTGGAACAGGCTTGCTCTGCAAAATTTTCATTTTCGTTCCCGGTTGTAACAACCGAACACCTCTTAGTAATAATTCAAATTTGACCCACAAAAAAAAAATTCGACGGTGTCGTTGGTCATTTGGCCCCAGATTGACGTGTAAATCAGAATCTGTATATTCAATTTATCCGGATCACAGATACGCAAACGTTTTTTTAATTTTTCTCAGGAAATCTTAATTTATATACCGGTTCTTATAGTGAATGAAAGCTTGTAAATTAAAATTCAGCGTTCATTCAATATGCAATGTCGTAAGGCGGGAGTTGGAGTAAAGAACCCCGCACAAGACATGTAGAAAGTGAGTCTCAGTCGATTTGTTTGAAAATTCATTATGATATATTTCTGGCTTTCCTATACCAATGTTTTTATGCGACCAAAGTAATCCTGTGATTACTTCTTGAGAAATAGGGGGATGAAGTTTACCCGATTTGCAAACATTCATCCTTGAGGTGTCGAAGTACTATTAATCGCTTTCTGGATTCATGCAATAAGTCTACATCGACGGCTGAAACAAACGAATTCTATTGCCTGGAAGACATGATAAATCAAAGTAGTCTAAATAATTATCAATTATATAAACTTATATTTCATGCACTTCGAAAAAGGCTATCGAGGTAGTCGAAACGTCAGTAAACTAGTCCATTCAGCATCTCTGGTTTCTTTGATTTTCAGAGTTTTTGGTATGAGAAGTACACTCGGTACATTCACCTATTTTGCAAATCGGGTGAACGTCATTTCGCTATTTCTCAGAAAGTTATCATCGGATTGCTTTGGTCCCACAAGAAGGCGTTCAGGAAGGCGAGATATATATCATGCTAAATTTTCAGATAAAACGACTGGGGTCCATTTTACACATGTTTTGTGCGGGGTCCTTTGTAAGAATCTAGATGCATTCAGTACACTTTCTTCGCAGCCATCAATTCTAGATCAGGTATTTCGTGGGTTTAGCATGTTGATCGTACTGTAGTCAGCTCATGAAAAATTAGTTATTACGCTATTTAAAATTCAACTGGAACGATTGAAATAGAGCAATATTTAGGTTTTTTCAGGTTAACTCTGGTCCTGTCTTGTGCAATGAAGTTCGAAACGTATCCCCACGATACACAGATATGTACAATGATGATCGAAAGCTGTAAGTATTCCAGAAACACAAAACTGTTCCATATCACTACTAACGTGTTACTTAATGCAGATGTTATATTATCTACAAGATTTCAAAGGAAAACGTCTTTGAGGTAAGACTATGATCAAAGGCGACTAGTTGAAATGAAGCATGCAGCCAAGAGAAACATTGTGAAATTATGATTTGTATTGCGCAGTGATACAACACATACAGGGTGGCGTATCGAAAACGAAACAGACGCATTTACTGGCAGCTCAGTTTCTTTTTAAAAACGCCCAGACCCGTCGATTTTGTTTTCGAGGGGGACACCAGTTTGGCAAAAAATCACGTTAGCACGTGCAGTCCCCTAAGCGGGGGTGACACCACCCCCAAAATCTTAAATGGAAAGGGGGTCGAGTGATACCTTATTTTAAAGGTCTTTCAATTCCCTTTATAATGCTATATAACTAATGTACCTAAGTTCAGTAGTTTTGAAGATTTATTGATTTAAAACTTAAATAAAACTGATACATCATCATTAGTGGAGATCAATACATTTGGCAGCAAAGTAATTTAAAAATGAAGAATGAACTGACCCGTTAGGCAAGTAAATGTTGAAAATGGCCACCATGACTCTCCATGCAATAATAAAGATTTCGCTCAAAACGTTTACAATTCTTTGTCGCAGGTCTTCCTAATGATGTTGGCTGAGTAGCATAGATTTTGCTTTTTAAATGACCCCACATAAAGAAATCCAAAGGTGATAAATCTGGCGATCTTGGGGGCCATTCAATGTGTGTTAAATAGCAAGTTCACAGTAGTACTTTCAGTTTTTTTAATGATACATTAACGAAAGAGTGAACTGTGACCGATTTTGAAGAAAGAAAGTGATATGAAGTCATCCCCAGTAGTTTTTTCATCGTTAACGATTCCTTAACTTCTGTAAACTTAACAGTGCCAAATTAATAAGTAAACCAAATTTTGTTATAAATATTCCCTAAGGAACGTCAACGAAGATGTGATGAATATGTTACTAATCCGTCCGTCAATAAAATGAGAGAGGAACTGGTAAAAAGTGTTTGCCTATAGATGACGACCACAAAATGTTACTAAAGTAATTGTTCATTCCAAATAAATTTGGTTTCAAACTTTTCTTTCCACAGAGGAAGTATTGTAATCGCGAAAAATTTCGAAAATAAGATATTGTGTTTTGGATGTTACATGACATGCACTTGCGTGTCTCCTTCCTTCGTGCAGCAAACCCTATATGCGTATGACTGTATCGCTGGCCCTCCCGATCTCGAGTTATAGCAACGTTGCTAGATTCGTCGCGAGAAAAAGAAGGTGGCAGGTGATGCGATATGTACATACGAGGTGGGAGCGATATTATCTAAATGTACGAGCGTTATGCTTGGAATGTAATTTTGTGAGGATACTTGATTTCGTGTAGGTATCAAGAACTATTATTAAGAAAATGAGGCTACCGTGTACAGACACGCCCATTGCTGCAATCTGAGGATTTTTTTTCATGAAAAGCCCAAATAATGCACTAACGGTTTTCACAAAACCTACGCCTTTTTGATGTCATTGACTACATGGACAATTGTACCAGGACTTGTTTTAAAGGCATGGGAAGTATAGAATCAATCTACTTGATGCCATTGTATTTATTTTAAATAAACATTTCAATAAACCAAAAAGCATCAAATCAAAACTAAATTCAAAGTTCCCACGGTGCGCTATCCTTGTCTTGACTCATATTTATTTTACAGTATCCCATACAGATCACGACTTGGTGTTCATTTGGAACATGACAGATCCGTTAGTAGTGAATCCAGAGATCGAACTACCGCAATTGGACATATCTAACAACTACACGACGGATTGCACGATCGAGTACAGCACAGGCAACTTTACATGTTTGGCGGTCGTGTTCAACTTGAGACGTAGACTTGGCTACCATCTGTTCCACACGTACATACCATCGGCGCTGATTGTCGTCATGTCATGGATATCTTTCTGGATCAAGCCGGAAGCGATACCAGCCAGGGTTACCTTAGGAGTTACATCGCTGCTAACATTAGGTTCAGTTCTTTATTATTCTTTTAGTTTCATTCACTGTAATTTACAGTCAGATTTAAGATATCAACGTAGTCTTTTAACCGATCATCTGCGAGGGCGGTTCAATAAGCAGATTCACCTGAAGAAATCCATTGTTTTGATTGTTGCTTAGTTTCTGGTGTGTGATGATGAATGGCAGCCAAATTCAAACTAACCTATCAATCAGTCTGACATTTGTTAAGCCGTCCTTTGATATACAGGGTGGCCTGTGAGGTCTTAAGTCACCTGATTCACGAGCCCGTTGTACTACATTAACAAAGGCACGAGGGGTTGGTTGCACTCGATTGGGAAACCGATCCGCATAAACATGTGCCATTTTTTATTTCGTTTGAGCCACGCAACAGACACCACTATTCACTCACGCGTTACCGATTGACACTGACTGTATACAACTGAATAAAATAATTGTAAAAACATCGTTCCAAATTCTTTCGCTTTTTTGTTTCCGATGCGATGAACCGATAAGGCGGATTATATCCGTTGTTGCCAAACACGAGCACATAATATTATTATTGAGACAGGGCGGTACTCAAACCTCCAAAGGGCTATAACTTTGTTACTTTAATTTTACCAGAAAAATGGTAAAGGAAAAAAACATTTCTTTTGATCAGGTCTACTCACTGTTAAAATAAATGACTCAACTTCGAAGTCACCCTGTATATATGACAGCACACAATGATAACAATAAATTCCCTCAGGAACGCCCTCTGTCGTCAAACACGGGTAATTATTGAACCGCCCTCGTATTACGGGGGAGTAACAGATGATTATCTAGTAATATTTCAAAATTCCTCATATTGACAAGTGACACACCGTTGTGACGGACTTGTCAACGCCAGGTAGACAGAACCGTATTTTGTTGTTTTCAGCACGCTACAGATTCATTTTGTACTTGTTGATCAATTTTATTTCGAAAATTTCCTTCGTATACAAAAAAAAAACGCTACAAGCAGAATATTCATGACTACATTTTAAGTCAGGTAATAGTAGTTGTTGACTGTGATCATAATTTCTATATTCTTTTACATGAAAAATTACGGCTACTGGATGGATAGGGTACAGTCTATTCTATTGACTTTCCTCATAATCACTAAATTCCATATGCACTATAATAACTTTATAAAAAACATTTTTCTATATGTACTTCGTATATTTTATTGCCAAAGTTACCATTCAGCTGTTCACCTCAGTAGACGTCAAGACGTAATGGATACTCGTGAAATAGGGTTTATTACACAGGCCTGCGATGATTTCCCCTTAAAGATTTTTTTAGTAATTTGGGTATGTATTAGCCATAATTTAATCTCAAATACATTTGAAAAAATAACAACCATTGGAAGGGCAAAATTTCGCAGGCCTGTGTTATTTTCAAAGATGTAAGTTGTGTAAAGTAATATATTTTCAGCTACTCAGAACACCCAGTCTCAACAATCCCTTCCTCCCGTGTCGTACGTGAAAGCCATCGACGTTTGGATGTCCAGTTGTTCAGTGTTCGTGTTTATGTCTTTGATGGAATTTGCGGTTGTGAACAACTACATGGGACCCGTTGCTACTAAGGCTATGAAGGGCTATTCAGATGAAGACATTAGCGTTGATGTGAGCGACTATAGGGTAGGTTTGCCTACTAAAGTGATCCTGCAGGTAAAAATCTAAAGTAATCCCATCATTCGTTGATAATGTCAATATTTCTACGGCAAGAAAGTACCACCAAACATAGGGGAAAGTCATCTAGATCTTGGCGTCAAAATAATACCTGATAAATAAATCGTAGATAAGCCTTTGTTTCCAAATGATCGTTTTCTGATACGTCAGGTGGCATTTCTCGTAATTATTGATTATTTTACAAGATTTCAGGCAAGTAACATTCAATTTAACTCCACTTATAAAAAAGAAGTAAACAGTTTGTGTCAAACATACTATGCTACAACTATTTAAAACTGTAATGACTCATACGCGTGATCAACACGTGATCAGAGCTCGATCCCGGCGGTGGTCAGCAGCACAGACAGAGATGGAAATAATGGCTGATTGTTCTCCGCCGGTAGAACCAATGAAATGAAAGACGCGCCTCGACCGGCAGACTCATAGGCGTCGGCAACGCATTGGAACGTGTTTCGTTGAGCGATCGCATATTGTGTGTTTTTATAAGAATTGTTGTGTGATTGTTATTGTTGTGGTTTCTGTGGTTACTGTTTTGGTTATACATAACCATGGAGAGTACAAATGGCACGAGTGGAAGTACTGAAAGCCAGGGAACAAGTAGACGGCTTCGTAAAGCACTGAAGAGGGACGCGAAAGAAATCGTGCTCAACGTGTTCAATTATCTGAACAGAACTATGTCGCAGGGAGATGCACCCGCGCGTTGTGAAAGTATGACAGGCGTTCCAGAGTGGACCATTCGCAGGGTGGTGCATGAAAAGAAGAAAACTGGAGCTACTACTGATCCAAAGTTTAATTTGAAGGGACGAAAGGCCGTTAAATTGGATGACGATAGCAAAATGGCGTTAAGGCGAACCGTACATTCATTCTTCTTTAGGAATGGGATACCAACCCTCAAGGCTGTACATGCAGCGGAAAATGAAATTATACCCCAAATGAGCGTCGAGGTAATGAGGAAATCCCTGCACGAAATTAATTTTCGTTACGAAACGCGTAATCGGAAGTCAGTATTGGTAGAGAGACCTGAAATAGTCGCCTGGCGTCGAAAATACCTACGCGAAATGATTGAATATAGGCGACAAAGCAGAAAAATCTATTATTTGGACGAGACATGGGTAAATGCAGGTCACACAGTTAAAAAAACCTGGATAGACAAAGCTTAGTGAGTAACCGACAAGCAAGCATTGAAGGTTTGTCAACAGGTCTTCGTGGACCGTCAGGGAAAGGTCAAAGATTGATCGTAACTCATATTGGTAGCGATAGTGGCTTTTTAGAAGAGTGTGACTTGATTTTCGTCTCTAAGAAAGGAGGTGATTACCATGATGAAATGAATGCCAGCTGCTTCGAGAGCTGGTTTCAAGGGCTTCAGCGAGTTGAGCCCAACTCTGTGATCGTCATAGATAATGCTTCCTACCATAGTCGTCGAGCCGAACGTGTACCGACTATGGGATCTCGAGAAAGTGACATGCAGCAATGGTTGCGCGAAAAAGGAATCCCGTTTGACGATTCATGTGTGAAAGCGGAATTGTATGAAAAAATTAAACAGCACAAACCTGCGAACATTAGTTACGTGACTGATGAGATGGCCCGTCAATGTGGTGTCACTGTGCTGCGGTTACCGCCCTACCATTGTGAACTGAACCCAATAGAGCTCATCTGGGCTCAAGTGAAGGGTTATATTGCGCGCCATAACACAACCTTCAAATTACCAGACGTTAAGGTTTTACTTGAGACTTACATACAGCTAGTAACGCCCGAAGCTTGGCAGAATGCTATCCGTCATGTTGCGAAGGAAGAAACAAAAATGTGGCAGCTTGACCACCACATCGACACCATCATAGAGCCAGTTATAGTCTATTTCAACGAGGAAAGCGATAGCGACAGTTTATTACTGTCAGATGTAAGTGGAAGCGACGATGAATAAAGGTAATTCCCAAAATGTTTGACTTACAATATGTTTCAAACCACTCTTTATTAAGCATGTGACAAATCTAGTTCACCCATGTTAAACATTCATACCCCGCCTATGAACAGCCGACTACTGGTAGTTAAGTGATGTTCACGTGAACATCGATGAGTCATTACAGTTTTAGATAGTTATAGTATAGTTCGGCAATTTGTACCACCATATTAAATTATAGTGGCTTAGGTGCAACCAACAGGACCGGCTTCAGAGTTTTGTGCGCTCTGGGGCAAAGGATGAAATGAGCGCCCCCCCTCACACATAAAAAAGCTGTGCTCCGTTCTCCATGTCACTAGGCTATAGTTATACTTTTTGTGATCCGACGATTTTAATATTTTTGCTTTACTAATCTGCTCAAAAAATAGGTGATTCTTAAATTCAAATATTTAAGTTTAATCAATTAAACTTTAAGATAATACGGATATCCTAAGTTAATTTAATATTTTGTCACACCTACGTTCCTAATTTATGATCTGTATGTGGAATTCGGTACAATATTTTCGGTTCCAAGTAACGATGAAAATCTAATGATCTTTGGTATAATACAATTTAGAAACGGCCTGGTACAACTTAACGAACCTGTTCTATGAATTGCACCGTTTGCAATATTTTTTTTAAAAAAGCTAACTATTCTTAGCTCAGTTTTTTGTTGTGCATTTTGCTGGAAACATGTAAAATAATCTTACTTTAAATTATCACTCAATTGAAATGAGTCATTAACGAGCCATTTACTAAAATATGACAAATGGTACAATTATTCAACTTTACCCTATGCAAGGTTTTTAAGAAATCGTATATCATGACCCTCCGAAATACATGGTTTTACAATTTTCCAACACACTTTTGGCCATAGGAATATTACCAATGTTTTTTAATTAGCCAAGTAGTTGATTCACTCAGCCTGTTGATGCATACTTGTGATGTTATCCAAAATTATATTCAAAACAAAAATAGAAAATGTTACACCCGCATATGTGCATTCATTTCGGGCCTGATGAAACCAACAAGCAGAAATACGTATTGCTCGGGTTACCTATTCTATTATTTTCCTATTTTTTTGTTATATACATTTCTCCGCCTGATCATTTTCTCTTTATATATATAATATATATATGCCCACCATACAATGTGAGGACCTCCGTGTAAAATTTGCATACAAAGTGGAGACCACGACAAAGTGAAGTCCGTATACGGACCTCACTTTGTCAGACCCGACGTATCGTGTTCCCCATCCGCTAATTATGACGAAAACGTGAAAAAAAGACGGTCCTCAGTTTGGCACGTCAAAATACACACACGAAATATATTTTCCGTACGTGTATATTCTGCAGTCAATAGAAAACCGTGCGGCACACCAAGTGAGGACCGCAAGCAAAGCAACAATGGTCGGACCCATTATATTGAGTAAACGCAATTGCGCTAAAAATATAGTTCACCTTGCGCCGTTTCATTTGAATCTTTAAATTGCCATAAACACTAACTCAATACGATCGTTTGTTTCAGGATATGGAAAGGCCTAGATACAGCACAGTTAGTCAACCACAATACGATACGTTTTGCAACGGAAGAAGCATAGCACTCTGTATAGATCAGTTTTCCAGATTCTTTTTTCCATTTTCATTTTTAATATTGAATGTAGTATATTGGTCAACTTTTCTTTGACGACATATTTTACATGTGAAACATTAGCACAATGAAAGTGGTTAGAATAAAAAATGTGTTCAGTTTATTTGTGTCCTATTTATCATTTATTTAAGCAGCCCTGCTTTACGACTTTGTTTTCCGCCGCTTTCTGATCACATAACGTATGTAAAAACTGGAGAAGCTCATATAAGGCCAAAATTGAGGTACTCGTTTTTGTCTAAGCATTCCCGCTTGACGTACACATGTGACAAATTTTGTGTATGATTTTTTCCAAATTGGTAGAAGGAGACGATGATGTGATGGGTCGCAAAATGTATGGAATGAAACGTCATTTTCCTGCCTAAAAATCTGCCTGTCGGTAATCAAGCCGAGGGTACTCCAGAAGCTCCCGATTTTTGCACCTCTCCATCACCTTACTTATAACAGAAAGTAGAGCTATAAGGCCTGTAGTGGTGAGGGTTGATCTTAGATCCTTTATTTGGGATGAGCTGGAGATGTACAAATTTTCAGTTTTCTGGGAAAGTGACGGAATCATAACATATCTGGAAGAGAATCAAGTCCCTACCAGAAACTTTGCTGATGTCGAGCGAGAAGGTCACCCGTCTTCTTCCCGCATCATGTAGGAACCCTTCGAATTGACGGCACTAGGGAGTTGGGAGGGACATCCATGGTGGAGCTAACAGCAAAGATTATAACAAACAAGTCCGCATTAGCCTTTGAGTCGCTGATAACTGATCCATCCTGGCGTATCCTCCCAACAAGTATTTCAGTGCGGACCTGTATTTGATCGTGAGGTCTTGGAGCACCGGCATGCCCTCTCCTGTGAGGTTTTAAGTCACCTGATTCACGAGCCCGTTGTACTACATTAACAAAGGCACGAGGGGTTGGTTGCACTCGATTGGGAAACCGATCCGCATAAACATGTGCCATTTTTTATTTCTTTTGAGCCACGCAGCAAACACCACTATTCACTCACGCGTTACCGACTGACACATCGACTGAATAAAAACATCGTGATCAGCGTTTCAAATTCTTTCGCTTTTTTGTTTCCGATGGGATGAACCGATAAGGCGGATTATATCCGTTGTTGCCAAACACGAGCACATAATATTATTATTGAGACAGGGCGGTACTCAAACTTCTAAAGGGCTATAACTTTGTTACTTTAATTTTACCACAAAAATGTTAAAGGAAAAAAACATTTCTTTTGATCAGATCTACTCACTGTTAAAATAAATGACTCAACTTCGAAGTCACCCTGTATATGTTTCTGGACTCGACGTCAACTTGTATGTTTTTTACAGTAGGACTTTGTAAGAAGGATCTGTATGCTTTGATCTTCTGCTGACAGTGTCGCATGATTTGTTGAACCAGCCGTTGGACCCCGGTTCAGATACTTTCACTGTATGAGAGTTGTATTTCCTCTATCCCAACGTAGATAATTTCTGTTGTTGATGAACAGACAGCCGATGCATCCGGGTCTCTGAGGTCTTCCCAGTCTGCATGTCGTAATGCCAAATTTTGCGGCCTAGGTAAGTTTCTGCTGCCACAGCCAGTTCTGACCGAAACCTAACCTCCACAACACCATGGTCTGAGTTACCTAGGGGCGACAGGACAGCAGTGCTGTTAGTGACAGGATGGGCGGTCAGAAAGATCCAGCAGACTACTGGCGTCTGGCGTGTGACGAAACGCGGTACACCAGTTTTGTTTGGCGGGGAGATTTAATTGGGACACCCTGTATACGCCACTGCTGGAATTGGTTGATATGACCGCTCCTTCGGTCTAGCTCTTTGCGAATGATCTATCAAGAATGAAAATCTGAAAGGGTCGGTGAATGAATATGAAATGGCAAGTTATCGGAGTATTTGGCAACTTGGTGCGTCTCCTTCCCATCGGCGTTGGCGTCGAGCGTTAAGCGTCAGACGTGAAGCGTCGCAATGCTGCAGTTCCATCGTTCGGCATGGCAGGGCGAATTTACAAGGCGACGCGCGCCGGCAAACGCGGCAGCGGCGCGCTTCCTGACACCACCACCAGTGTCGCCGAGCCGCTATACAAAATGTGTAATTTTTGCCCGCTGATGAGGTAATGACGGTGATCTACAAGCCTGTACCTCTTGTACACACAAAAACCAATACAGGAGTACGACATAGGCGCTGGGGGAAGCACCACCCGGAGGATCGTTGAGGCGGGGCCAGAATGTGTGCATGTCCTCTCGCTAAAGTCCGTGTGGCGTCCTCCTCCTTTCTTCTGCATCCTCCTACAGCCCCACGGTACCATCGGTGCTTAGCCCTTAGGGCTCCTTGGTGGTTTAAGTATAAAAAAATAAAATTTATTTTTTTCGCTTTATTTTTGGTTCTAGCCCTTTTTCGGTAAAAAATCTGGAAACATCTGTATTATCTTAACAAATCATGGAAAACGAGGACGTATTTGGCATTTCGGTTAATAAGGTCTCATTTCGGTAGAAATACCGAAAAATCTATAGGTTCGGCAACACTGTATGCAGGTCGCGATATGAGTTTCTGGACGCACCGACGAACAGATTGCAATGTTGCAAATGACGTTTATCAGTAAATATACCAAATTTCTTAAAAGCATAATTTTAATTAATACAATTATGTTGGCATAATGTGAGTACGGTCGACAGCTTCCAATAATTAACATTTGATGAACTATCCGGCTTAATTGATCCCTGTTTACCGGGTGTGCCTGCGCCGCTGTGCGTCGGCGTCTGGCGTCTGGTGTCGGGCGTGGAAACGGCGGCGTCGCGCGTGCCTTCCCTATGCGGCCGAGCAGCGACCATCAGCGACCACATGGCATCCTTGCACACGTCAAGATGAGTCCTCCGCGGCGCGTTTTCGGCGCGCCCGACACCCTCAACGGCAGCGGCAGAAGATACCTACCAACAGCAACATCAATACCGTCTGCTCTATCTCCGTCCGCGTTCATACTCATCAGCCTCACCGTTCAACCTCAGCCTGAGGCTCAGATTCTGCCTCACGCCGCGACCGCGAACGCGAGCGATGTATAAATATCATACGTCCACGGGGTGTTATTTATAGCCGCTGGTGCTGACGAACATTTTCGCAGCACACTACAGTGTACAACGAGTTCTTCCATCGTTCCCTGAGACTCCCGAAAGTGCCAGGTGCCAGTTGCCAGTTCCGATTTGTAAGTGCGCCCGCGGCCCCGGACCCCGGAGTTAGCTACTTCCGCAAGATGCCCCCCGTTAACGTTAACGTACGTGTACGTTAACGCGGATGCAGTGTTCGTGGTCGCCAGTGCAAATTGTGAGATTGTGATTAAAAACGCGAACGCGAATGCCGAACTGCAGTGCGCAACTTTCAATCGATGAACAGAAACAAACAGAAACAAGCCAACATAATACGGACATTGCCATATAGGGTGGGTACCACCATGTATCTATCGCCTATACCATCCAGCACCATGTACCATTTAGCCAACGTCGTCATTGCTATGGAATGTAATTTAACCTACATAATGAAGCTTTTCCAACGAAGACAACAAGTTGACGGAAACTTTAACATGAACAATCAAACTTAAAATTCTGCGTTTGGAACTTTTCTCCACCATATTCTCCATTACCTATAGCTTTCTTTATCTTGTTTTTAATTTCTAGTTGTACAATTGCAGTTAATTAATGCTATTTACTATTTTGTCGTCTATGCTTTTCTTTGTCGAATATTCTCAAAGTAGCTTCCTCTTCTCCACTTTCCACTATCAACTAACTCGTCTTTGGGTGCTTAAACTGTTTTGTAGTCTTTACAAACCTCATACGTTTTGCGTTACTTTTTACATTAAGTTAGAAGTATTTTTGAAAATCCGCTAATAACAGACCCTTACAAATTTTTCAGAACTTCCAAAGTGTGATTTCGCGAGATGTATATTTCATATGTACAAAAGTATGAATTATTGCATAAAGTTTGTTCGATGACTTGACGGTTATGTACCTGTAATGAGAAGGACAGTGGCGTCAAGAGGTTTGACTCTTCCCACGCAACGCCGCTATCAGTCCATAAAGGATCATCTTCAGCACAAACTGGAATCTGAGAGAAAAGGATTAGTATATGCCCTATCGGTAGTGCATCTGGTAACGTCGCCTCCTCCCGATACCCAACCCGGTCAGACGTGGCAGCGCGCCACAGCATAGGAAGCACTATGCTGTGGCGCGTCAGTAATGCACCAAGGCAGATGCAGACGCGGTCGGTAGGTACGCGACCCGTCTGCTGAAAATGCTTTTCCAAGTTTTAAGGGCTAATGTACGGAGAAGCCTATGACGTTAGGGGACAGACCGACCGATAGACAGATAGACGGAAATGAGTGATATGGTTTTTCGTGATGTGATGATAATATCTCATTTACGAAGATTTCCACGATTACAATAGTTTCCCGCTAGTAGGTGTGAAGTAAATCATGTAATCCTGTAATTTTGATGTTTCTTGTGAGAACATTTTCAAAAAGCTCTGCATATATAATCTGGACTTTTGGTGGCTAGATTTGACGCTGGAACTCCCGAGGACTCCAAAGCTGCCAACTTTTCACCTTAAAAAGATTTCACGATTTTTTCACTCATATTCGAAATTATCGCCACAACTTTCACCAAGCGTGCCTTAAATTCATTTATAACAAGACTCCCAAATCGAAGAGTACCTATAGAGTCGAAAAGTCAAAAGGTGTCCCTATGTTTTAGCAACTGAAAAAGCAGTGACACAAACCCCCATAAACTTCGTATCAGGAAAAAGGTAATGAAAATGGGAATCAAAGTAAATGGATAGGGGCAAAGATAAACGTAAGATAAAGATAAAAAATAACGATAAAGGAAAAGAGATAAAAAGATACCGATATAGATGAAATGCAAAAATAAAAATATAAAGATAGTTAAAGATCAAAGGACTACAGGGTGATTCTGTGCACATGTTTTTGCTTCTCAAAACAAAACAAAAGATAAATGATAATGTTTGTTTCAGAGAGTGCGGACGAGTTGAGTGTAGATGGTGATGGGTTTAACGATGCCAGCGGCCCATTTTGCCGCTCATATCTCAAGAACGTGTACAACAGCGCGAGAAGTACCAGCCCTAGTATCCTGCAGGTCCACGTCCAATTTGGGTGGTGCCCGGTGACGAGCAGAGCAGTACTGGCAGTAGCTGCTGTTTTCGTTGCGCGACCCTGAGGAATGTTCATCCCGGACAGTTTGCGCAGCTGCATGGTTGAGCCCGATGTCTCCTCATACTTGCAGACGCCTTCCTCGGGACAGGTGCCTACTGCCACTGCTACCCAAACCCTACCCCCAGTGGGCTTTGGCCCCATCGGCCAACGGCCCTCGCCCTCTCGCCAAGCCCACGCCATGCGTGATATGTAATTAACATGATTAACATCAATGTTCTGTTACTGTTTTTATGTACTGTCCAACGTTCGTCGTTGTCGTTTCTTCTGTATTCGCCATCGGCCGGCCTCCAAACATGAAATACCACAATAGAAGAAGAAGCAAATCTTTCGTTGTAACATCGATGTTCGACTTTACAACTAAAAATATATCCGTGAGGGTAAATGGAAAGGTTTTTAATCCAGAAATGTGGAACGTTTTGCTGAGTCACTCTTTTATTTACGGTCAATTTTAAGATCAATAACTTTTTCGTTTATATTCAAGAACTGATAGTAATGCTTGTGAGGAAAGTTTATATCTCCAATTTGCTGTAACGATTGATTTACTATTCCAAAAAAATCGCTAAACTTCAAATTTATTTTTTCACCAAAAAGCGCAAAACTTACTGATTACAATTCTGAAAAAATATTCTCTGAAAATTTATAATTGTCACCAAATTTTGTGAGGTTAATGCGCACATTTCACGAGCTATCTAGCGACGTAGCAGCTTTAATTGCACATATAATGACTCATTTTACAAGTCTTTTCACCGTCTAGAGCCCTTATGTAGACCAATTAGACAAAAACCTCAAAGCTTTCTAAATATATGCCAGAAAGTGTTTTTCCACCTTTGACCTTTGGTAAAAAAAGTTGCTCAGCATGATGTTTGCATGCTCAGATAGAAGCCCTTTACGTTTATTCTTAAGAATCTAATTCCGTTGTAAAATACGCCTGTACAATTTTCCTTAAAACAGGGCTGGTTTTTGACTGCTTAGTCTGATCAAAAGAGAGGTTTTATAGCATCGAATGATATCAAGTTTTTTACTGCTCACGCGCGAATTCCGAATCTTTGACTGTGTTACAACTTTAGAGGTAGAACAAAATCCCTGACTACTAAATAATTTTAGAAATGTCGAAGTTTAATTCTACCTGAAACGATTTTAAATGATAAGTTGCAGACATTAAAATTCTTTTAGAGGTATTTTGATAATTATTACATGCTCACAAAAGCAATAAATAACTTGAGCGTTTTCCATTCCGGATATTTGCTATTAGGCCACTCTTAGTATGTTTGCTTGATCATTCTGGTATTGGAAAGTTTCATCCGTCTGGAGTAACCGGCAAGCAATGAGGGTGAGGGGTTGAAGGATAGGAGAGGGGATGAAAATGGGAGTGGGAGGATGTGTAGCTATTGAACGGCTGATGATATGCCGCTTTGACGCGCTAACGCTTGCCGCTTTGCCGCACTGGTGTCTGCAGACGACGCGCGACGCCATACCGATTTGCGCTGATGCCACGATTCCGATTACAGAATAATACACGGCCACAAACACAAAAAATGGCGTCAAGTAGGTTGCCTCTGCACTTCCCACTCAACCGTGCCACCAGTTCATAAAGTATGTATTTATGTTCGGCCCAAGTTAGTGCCTTTGTGCTAGCTACAACAAAAAAATTAAATGGATCATATATACAGGGTGGCCCATCTACGTGTGGACGGAATATTACTCATAAACACACATTTTCGGAAAATCTATTTATGCTGGCATATACTAAGTGACATATAAATCCGAACACCCAGTTTAGATGGTTTTATTTTAATAAAAGTTGGTGAATGTATTCATCTTACTGTAAATAACAAGTGAAAAGATTTTCAGCCTTATCAGTTGGACATTCCGGTTTTTATACTGCTTTTTTTTAATTCACTAACGCTCGAAAAATGAATATTTCAGCCGCAGTAAAGAATCAACGCTGGCGGATTTTGGTTCTTGACATCCTTTACGATCGGTTACGATGCCTAGAGTACGGAGACCTGTACGATTTCGTCAACTTAGTGAGTTTGATAGGGGCCGTATAGTGGGACTTCGGGAAGCTGGACTTTCTTTTCGGGCAATTGCAGTTCGAGTGCAAAGAAGTGTAGACACTGTGGTTAGGTGTTGTCAAGCATGGCTTCGAGAAGGCCGTACGCAAAGAGCAAGGGGCACTGGACGCCGCCGTAGAACAACAGACCGTGAAGATCGCCGCCTAAGATTATTGGCCTTAAGGGACCGTTTCTCCACTACCAGGTCCATTGCAAATGAATGGTTTGCAGAACACGGAAGACCTATTGGCATGCGAAGTGTTTACCGACGAATGAGAAGTTTTGGCTTGTTTTCATACCGGCCACACTGGGTCCTCCCTTTAACTCGAGAACACCGACGTAATCGCCTTGAGTGGTGCAGACAACGGTCACTCTGGGATCAGGAATGGAACAGTATTGTCTTTAGTGACGAGTCTCGATTTTGTTTAGGCATGCACGATGGTCGTGCCAGGGTTAGAAGGCGGCGTGGTGAAAGGAGGAATCCACAGTTTTTTGTTGAAAGACATGTTCATCACACTGTTGGAGTTATGGTTTGGGGTGCTATAGCTTATGGTTCCAGGTCACCTTTAATCTTCATCAGAGGTGACATGAACGCGCAGCGTTATATCCACGAAGTTCTAGAACCCCATCTTTTACCCTATCTTGACACCCTGGCAGATCCAACTTTCCAACAAGATAATGCCCGACCACATGTTGCAAGAGTCACAATAGACTTCTTTCAACATAATGATGTCACATTGTTACCATGGCAACCAAGATCTCCCGACTTATCCCCAATTGAGCACGTGTGGGATATGATGGGTAGGAGATTGCTCAATTTGCAACGTCCTCCTCAGACTCTAGAAGCACTTCGAGAGGAGTTGGTGGTTGCCTGGAATGAGATACCACAGGAGGACATTGACCACCTGATCAGAAGCATGCCTAGGCGCGTTGGAGAATGCGTAGCACATCAGGGTGCATCCACACATTATTAAAGGTCAAAGGGCTTTAAAGCAGTGCAAACATTTTGAAATTTTTATCATTTACTTATTATGCTTCATTAAGTACTTTTTTATTAAAATAAAACCATTTAAACTGGGTGTTCGGATTTATATGTCACTTAGTATATATCAGTTTCTGCTCCAATTTGCCGTGCACTTAAATGGGGATTTTCTTACAACTTTAATAGAACCTCCTACTGATTCGCCTCTTTGGTGACACTTGGATTATTTATACATTTTTTACTATATTCCACTGCTCCACTTGATTCAAAACGTTCTCGTAGTGTGGAAAATGTTTCCGGCATTGAATGTGGCATATGAGGGTACCGTTGCTTATATTCAAGCATGTTTTTATTATAATGCTCACAAAGCTTATTTTGACAGTTTGTAACTAATCAACAATCTATTTTTTTTCCAAGGATGATGCGATATTTTAGGGTATTAAACCATTCCATAAAAGACGTGCTAATAACCGAAAAAATAGCCGTAAAAACCCTCATGTGTCTAGTATCAAAAGCAAAGCTTATAAACAACTGAATTCAAACTTGCACAAATATACATTTCAAATTTTTGAGAAGAAGTACAATTCGCGTTTTTGACTACCCTGAGGATAAAGGAAGATTCGAAAAAGTAATAAATAAGATAAAAGCTGAGGTGTGTAAGTTTTTTTTAATACAATGCTATCAGTTGATAAAGAATTATGTTCGGGATAACTAAAAAGCTAGCATGTCTAACAAAAAAATGAAAGGAACAAGTCGGTGAATATTCCCCGTATATCTCTGACAACGTTGCGATTTATAAATTTCTCCCCTGCCGACAGTACCTGCCCTCATCCCGAAGGGGTCGTTTTCTCTCCTGGAATTCGACTTGACCTCAAGATTTTCAGATTTGTCATGATTTTATGTACGATTTTGGGGATTGTCAGGATCTCCCGCTTCCCCAGAAAAATTGCGACCTCAGGCTCTTCAAGAAGTTTTGGGACCAGATACGCACGTACACTTTCACAAGAAGCCATCTCCGGCCGATGATCGGTCCCCATTAGAGAAACCCCTGCGGGCGTCCATGAACGTTGCTATGACTAGCCTCCTCGCTTATCAGCCACGGCAGCCTCCACCAGATGCGAAGCACAGACACCTATCGGTCCGACCTCAGCCGCGTGTGTTGAAAATATTCTACTTTCTGTTTTAAGAGCAAATGTTCGGGAAATCTAACTCAAAAAATTGGGTTGGACCAGTTTTTGAGCCCCACAAATCAGGAGCCCGTGTTCGAACAATCTTTATTCTTTTTCCGTCCATTGGACCGATATTCAAAAACTACAGGGTGCGGCATAAAATAGCTAATTTTTACTCGAAAACAAATTTATCGATGGAATCAGGTTCACAAGGAAATAGCATTTGAGACAGTCAAGTGTGTAAAATCACATCAGGCATGTGGTGGCCGCAATTGTTGATGCAGTGCTGGAGGCGTTCTTGGAAGTTCGCTCTCTCAACTTGGGTGACTTCCACGCGAATTTCGCCCTTCAATTCGTGCAGAGTTCGGGGCTTGTTCGCGTATACTCTAGCCTTGAGGTGTCCCCATAAGAAAAAATCGCATATGGATAAATCTGGGGTCCGAGGAGGCCAATGAACATCGCCAAACCTGGAAATAAGGCGACCAGGGAACAGAGAAGGCGAATAACGTCCATGGATGCTCGGGCTGTGTGGGCGGACGCCCCATTCTGCCGGATCCATATGCAAAATTCCCCTTACCGAACGATCACTAAGGCGAAGTGCAGCAGCATGTTTCCGGGCAGATCGAGTCGGACTGCGCAGAAAGACCTGTCGAACGCGTTCAACATGTTCAGGAGTTCGAACTGTTCGCGGCGCTCCTCTTGGTCTTCTGTTGATCAGTTCACCACGCCTGCGAAGGATGGTGTTTCGAGAGGGAACAGCTCTATTCCGATGAATGTTGAAGTGGCGACGAAACTCACGCTGTACGACGATGACTGACTCATTATTTCGGACAAAACAATCATAGGCGAAAACGCGGTGCCCCACGGTCAAACGGCACCCTCC